GATAATTTTGGTACTTTTTAAAGGTGAGGGACAATTTTGGTGCCAAAGTGAAAAGTTGAGGGACCAAAATGGTACTTAAACCTTTTTTTTTTTACAAAATTCAGTTGTGGGCCTTAAGATTGGTGGGTTTTAACTAATAATAAATAGTTAAATTGTTAAAATGAATAATTGATTATATAGATTATATTTGGGCTCTTAAAATATTCTATTATTATTGGATCTTTTTTATTTTATGTATTTTAACAATTAAAAATATAATATTTAAAATTTTAATAATAATAATTAATAAATTAATTATATATTTTTTTTTTCAAATCTGGTCTCCATGTGGCTTCGCCACCGGTAAAGATTGAAAAGATCTATAAATTCTTTTTGACTATATCATGAAAGGCACTAAGGGTGATAAAAAATAGGTAAAATATTCAAATTCACCCTTAAAGTATAGTGGCAAGGACAGATCCATCTCGAACAAAAAATGGGGAGAAATTCACCTACAAAATTTTTGATTTAGATAAATCATCTCAAATTTAACGTATGAAGTCATATGATGTCAATAATCCGCTAATATCTTATGTCAACAATCAGTTAATTTGACGCCATCTGATGTCAGCACTCTGTTATTAGCAACATAACAAATTAATGGATTGTTAATGTCAGATAATGTCACACGTTAAATTTGGAGTGATTTATTAAAGTCAAAAACTTTAAATTATCTTATAATTAGATTTTATTTTGTAATTAAAAGATTATGAGGGTTTGACTATAAAACCACAAACTAAATCAATTTTATCAATTTTAAAATTTTATAATTCAAATCAACCTAATTTTTTATCATATTGGTTTGATTTTTTATTGGATTCTTATCAAATCAATCTAATTGGATTAAATATGAACACCCCTAATTAACTCCTTCTGTTTTTTTAGACCGTATTATTATATATAGCAACTAATTTAATGATATAACATAAACTATATTATTGATTCTGAATTTTCATTATAAAATTTTGTCCTTCCTATCATTACTCTTATTTATTTTATGTTCTTAAGGTACATTTGCTATAGCATTTTCTCTATTTATTTTTAATAA